TCTGCTTCAGGAGCAGCATCAAGACTCTGCAAGGACTTTGTGTGCCTCTGCTGCACAGGAAAAAGCTGTCACAGCATTCTGCAGAACTGTTGTGAATTGAGACTCTCCCGAGCTAGGTTCTTACAGTAATCATGTTTTTGAGCAGATAACAGCAATTCAGAAGGCACGTCAGTCAGCGACCGATCTCCTGTCTTTCTTTTCTCCTCGTGAACGGAAAGAGGGGCTCTGGTTCAACGATTATTATCAATGATTGAAAGAGCCGTAGTCATTTCTCTGCAGCAGCCCGATGAAAAGGGGTCTACTGTTGACACGGGAGCAGGCAGAAAGGGCGGTGGTCGACTACCGCACGAGTCAGGAGGTTCAACCGGCCATGTTGGAGGAGCTGCGCAAGAGGGTAGCGGCTTTCAGCGAGCGGGGTTCGGTCAAAGTAATCTTCGTGGACCCGTACCTGAAAAGCCATGAACTGGTGGACGCCAGAGTTTCTCTGGACTCTGAAAGCGGGGAGGGGGAGACGATCCTCACCATCAACAAGGCCTGGGTGGAGGAAACCCTGAACACAAGGTTGGCCAGCCGGACGTTCGGTCGGGAAATTGAGTGGGCGCAGGTGATGGTAGTCAGGTCGGAAGCGGGCCGGCCAGGGATGCTCGCCTACGTGTGGGAAAGCACATCCGTTCGAAGGGGAAGAGCTGGAGGCGCCTGGGTGGCAGTGCAAGTGGCCCCCCGACTTCACCACCCCCACTTTCAGAGGGAAGGGTATTCTTGCAAAGTTCCAAACTGGATTCTGCGGGGCTGAGTACGTGGCCACAGTCGGCAACATTAACACACCAGAGACGTGCACGTTTTTCGGCAGGTCGAAAGCGGGGAAGAAGGTGGACGAGGAGTCGGAAGAGCCGTTTCCTGATTCCGTGGAAGGGGTCGCAGACTTCGTCGAACAGCGAAGGAGCGTGCCTGTGCGGTGCGCTGTGTGCGGGAAGAAGTCAACGTCGGACGAGGCTTTGGAGCGGTGCAGCGTGTGCCGCGCAGTATGCTACTGTTCAAAGGAGCATCAAAAAAGTGACTGGAAGGAGCACAAGAAGGTCTGCAAGAAGGCGACTGATTAGGATAGAGTTCTAAGCGAGCAGCCTTGTGTACAGATGGGTATGGAAGACAAGTCTGCAAATAGGAGCGGTCAGACTGTCTTGGTGCGTGTGGTGTAAAGCGAGAATGGGCAGAAGACGTACTCGTTGGTGTGATAGGGTCGACGACCTTAATCGAATCTTGGTGTGTAAATGAGCATCGGGTATTTAAACAGTAGTTGGTTTTTTCACGAGTAGTTTCCACGTCGCGGATTGCAGTGCGACTCCCAGAGTAGGTCATGTGCTGGCAGGGAAGCTTGGACCATCAAGCCCGTAACTTGGTTCCTTATCGTTCTTTGACAGCCCACCTAATAGCATAACAACACTCTATGACTCAGCTTGGACCGATTGAAACTGACGGTAGAGAAGGGGCAAATGTTGCTTCCTCAACAAGTCTAGCAAATTTAGTGTCTCTGTTCTAGAAACTGGGGCTGGGGCTTGATCCACGTCAGGCTCAGTCTGCCTTATCGATGGTGTGTCATGCTTCCCACCTCTCTCAGTATCTAATGCATGCTCCACAGAATCTGATGCAGGCTCCACATTATAATAAGATCGGGCACCATTGGCGGTGTACTTTAATTCTTTCAAATTCACAGTATGATGACACGCGGTCGCTGATCAACGATGTCGAGACATATGTAGCTTACTAGGTCTGTCTAATAGATCTCCTACCAAACAGTGCTGAAGCTCAGACTAATCTTAGGCCCACGCACTCTGTCTCCCTCATCGGGCTACCAGCCTACTAATTATGCAAAGTGGCTCCAAAGTCAGCCTCCATCTCTCGACAGAGGAATGGCAGATTGTAGTTGCCGAGGAAATCTCTTGTCTGTGATGGCTGGGGATGGACCACAACACGCTCCTTTTGCTCGGTTGCCGGCGCCATCGGTGGTGTGCTCACGTTCATCCGTTTAAGTTGCTCCATCCTGTACTCATGGTCGTATGTTGCCTGCTGCATCTTTAGCTTCTCTTGCTCAAGATTGAGATCCAATTGCCTCGTCTTATAGCCCAGCTCCGTCTGCTTCGTCTTCTCCCGTTCGATCTCTAAGCTATTGTCGTGAACATCTGACATCACGACCTCCATCGAGGTTGATAGCCTGACCGCCTTGCGCATATTGTACAAAATCTTCTCGTCGGTGAGGCTGGCTGGTGCCACAAAGATCTCGGGGTGCGTAGTGTCACCGATTGTGAGCCGCGAGAGGTTGTCCTTGATATCTCCCATGTTTCGAAAGAGCTCCTCGGCCTTTCTGTCGTCCTCAGCCTCCACCACGTGCAGCAGCTCAAAGAACAACGGCTCCTTGAAAGAAGCCTTGTGCTCCTTGTACCGTCTCCCCAGATTGGTCGTGCGCCCGAACTTGAAGAGCTTGGTCGGCCGCTGCTGGACAGCGCCGACGTAGATACACTTTTTGTTCTTGTGCAGGAGCAGCATGACCTTCTCTCTCGGGCCGATGGGTACATGGTCACGCGTGAGGGCGATGTGCGCATCCCGAATGGCAATGAAGAACCCTCGGACTGCCTTGCCACGCTCGCCCGGCGCGCACATGGCAGAGTTCTCGAATGCGTTCGTGCTCAGATAGTATTTGTCGGGCATCGAGCCTCTTTGAGCCGACCGATTTTCCCCCGTGATAAATGGTTGACCCTTCTTGTGAATGTAGTCAACATCCAGCTGAAATTGCTCCTTTAACCTGCGTGACCCATTCCCTTTTGTACTATAACCACAAAATTCCCATACAAGGTCAAAGTCGATTGGATACTTGCTCCCCTCATCGTCAAAGGCTTTGATGAAGACTCTAGCGAGATTCGCTTGGTCTGCCGAATCGAAGTTGGTGGCGACAACACGTGGGTGCGCCAAGATGGTGGCGGTCAGCTGATCCATCTTCTGAAATTGGCGAGCGGAACTTTTCTAAGATGGGGGACGCAGATGCGTTTGAATCAATGACGGCAACCGGCGGGCAGAAAGGAGCGTACGGCCGAATGGATCCTCGGATCAACGGGTGCGTGCGGATGGTAGTAGTCAGATTCGTGCCATTCTGAGCAATCCATGCTCGTAATGGCCCCCACAGAGCTTCCTTATACGTCGCAATTCCCCTCGAACATCACTGCAGCAATATTCGGGTGGCTTAAAACAGCATTAAAATCCATTGTGATGGAAGGCGCTCTTGGCATTGAAGTTAAGCCCTATAACAGCTCCAAATACTCCGCGTGTAGCGCGCGCATTTTTTTGTATAGCCCCGGCAGAGGCACGTGCGCGCAAAATCATATTGGTGGTGACGTAACTCAAATCGAGTATTTGAAACCACGCGCGCGGCCTGACATGTGCGCGCGCATCGGGCGCACAAGAGCAATAAAGGCGACCCCGGCGTGCAATCTCAACACCGCTTTGCTGACGCCTCCATCCACCGTTGTCAGTGCATAGTGTACGGTAATGCAAACGGTCTACTACTGAAGCTTCGTTCGCTCCCGCCCTACAAGGAGGTCTAATGAGCTTCTGCGTTCTGGTGGACTTTTTTTCTTCCCTTGTTGAAAATGGCTACAGATGTTCCCGAGCTGCTTCGCAACATGGACAGTCTTGCAAGTTTGATCCGGGATACCGTGAAACAGGAGTTGAACCCCATGAAGAACGACCTCAAATCCGTCATGGACGACAGGTGAGCACTGTAAAGAAAGGCTTAAACGTTGCAGAAGAAGAGCGGAGGACAATGACCAATCGTTTGATCTCACAGGAAGGACAGATTGCGGATATTGCTGCACAGCTCAAAATAAACACTGCCAGGTATGTTTACTAACTTTGAGTAGGCTGAATGCCCACCCAGACTGTGTTATGCTTGTATTCTGCAAGTCTCCTGTATGTATGGGGTTTTTTGAGAATTGCCGGTTCTGATAACATTCTGCCTTCCCTTATTAAAGATGATCGTCTAGGACAGCGTGTTTTCTTGTATGTATCATAAGTGTTTGAGGCTTCCCACCAGTTTGCAGCATAAAGGCTATGCTTTTTAAGCCCATTTGCAGAGTTCTGAGAACTGAAATAGTGTGAATGAAACAACGGTAGTGTTAGGAAGCTTCAGATGGCATTTGTTCGACCTTGTTGGACGGCTGGTGCCCATTAGGGTTGTAAGCGTCAGAGTACGCCAGGTGGTCACAAAGCGACTTTTACTTGTTCTATTCTGTTGAAGCTTCTGCCTTCCCCTCTTGAAAATGTATCTTGTGAAGCAAGAAGGTGATGCAGGTGCAAGAGAAATTGTAATAGAGGGATGGAATTGAAACCCGAGCAGATTCTGTAGTCAAGTAGAACAGAAAATACAGAATGTTTCGTCTGAGGTGATATATTGCCGAGATTATTGCTCAGATTAAACAATGCATGGCTTTTCACTGGCATTTAGCATTTTGACTTGTTGCTGAGTCTTTTCTGCATACATGACTTTTCTGCATGCATGCATAGGTATTTCGACCACCATCTTTGACTCTTCTTTGTAGGCCAACGCAAGAGGATATTGTGGAGGCAACAAACGATGTTTGAGAGTACATCAGGGAGATTCGGAACAGGAACCCTGATACTATGAGTCGGGTACAACTGGCCAACATCTTCTTCAACTTCGGTGCAATGCTAGAAGATGTTTGGAACATCTTAACGTGCACGGCAACCGAACAGCCGCCTTCAGCTTTCACAAAGAAGGGCGCAACTGGGGAATCGTTTGTTCTGGTCGTGTTACAACGCCATGAGGATCAATATAATCCAAAATCACCTCTGAATAGATTATCACAGGTTGCGCCAGAAGCACACAAGGCATTCAAGTCCGCAATGGAGAAATGGATGCCACACTACGGCTCCAACAAGGACTCCATAGTGTATAGCAAGGTTGGGTTTTGGTTGCATGCGGCTCGTTTCATCCGCAACTACTCAAGCCATCGCAATCTGCGGTTAGTGCGGTCGCCGCCACCTAGGGCGATTGGAGAAGAGCCCGGAGAGGACGACGTGATGCGATTAATGGTTCCTGTGAATCCGGCTGCGTCAGCTTTTGAAGAGCGAGATATGCACACGTTCTACCCATTCAGTGCCGGGACTTCCCCGTTTGCAAAGTATTGTACTCTTACTGGTAGGGGTTATATCACAATGTCATTGAGAGAGGTTGTGAACGAGGTAGTTGAGGTAGTAGTTGCAATAGAACCAGATTTAATGAACTGTCTGGAGGGTTGCTTACCTCCTTCAAATCTGCCTTCATAATCAGATTGAAGGGTGTGAATTTGTTTCGTCCGAGTTACGAAAATCCAAGCAAACTCTCACATAGAACATGTCTCGTGCTTCTTCACAACCTAGAGACAAGTCTTCACGTATTTTTAGTCATACGCACCATCAAGCTTAACACAGCCTTGCTATGTAGCGACAAGTAGTGACAGCTGGTTACTGTGCTTGATTGATGCAGTAACATGTTAGTCCAGAAGATCTCCTCTCAAATAGTGCTAAAGCTCATACTGATCTTAGGCCCACGCATTCGGTCTCCCGCTACGGGTCACCAGCCTACTAATCAGACAACGTGGATCGAAAGTCAGCCTCCATTTCTCGACAAAGGAACGGCAGATTATATCTGCTGAGGAAATCTCTTGTCTGTGGTGGCTGAGAATGGACCACAACACGCTCTTTTTGCTCGGTTGCCGGCGCTACTAACGGTGATGTGCTCATGTGGCTCCGTTTGAGTTGTTCCATCCTGTACTCATGGTCGTATGCTGCTTGCCTAAGATTAAGCTTCAACTCCATCTGCTTCGTCTTCTCCCGCTCGATCTCTAAGCTATCGTCGTGAGCATCTGACATCATGATATCCGTTGAACGCCTTGATAAACACAGTTGCCAGCTTCTGATCCCCCTCGAATCTCACTGCCGTAACATTCGGGTGGGTTAAAACAGCGTCCACGTCCATTGTGATGGAATATCGAGTACTACCTTTTGATCTGAAGTAGACCTTGAGAATCTCATGGCGGAATAAAACGCACAGTGCGTTTGTTTCGGGTTCACTGTCTATGCCGTTCTCTCATCTATTGCTGCTCTTGAAGTGTGTTTGAACCACTAAATTTATTTTCTTTGCAGCATCAGCAAAACAATGACTGTACCTTCCTCCTCCAGAGAACCCCTTTACACTGAGGCTAAGATGGAGGCGACTGTTAAAAAGAAGGAGGATGAGATGCAGGCTAAGTTGGATGATTTGCAGAAGCAGCTCGACAAGGCTAGGTATGATATATTGGCAGCAGAACGAAAGATTCTTGCCTTGGATAGGCGCACATGCAGAGACAGTTCTCTAGAGCCCCCTCTAAGCTTTTCTTGCTGATTGTAACTCCGCGTGTCGCGCGCGCATTTTTTCTTACTACAAGATGCCCTAGTAAAGGCACGTGCACTCAACTTTACACCAGTGATCACGTAACATGTACGCGCGCGCGACTGGCGACTGGGTTTGACTTTTCACTCCAGGACTTAAGGCGAAAAGTTACGTAACCGGCGCGTAACTTTTAAGTACCCTCCGGAGTATACGGTATTTAAGGCCTAGGGACCGGGACCGAGTCGCTCTCTTTTAAGTGGCTACCGAATTGATGTGGCACTACCGGGCTGGCTGGAACTTGCATCTGGAGGCTGGGGGTCCGACCCCGCCTGGGTCCTACCCCCAGACTCCCATCTAGAACAATGCTGCAATCCTATTGGCCCTCCTAAAAGTGCCCGGTAGCTACCCTAGAGGTCTAGAAACTGTACTTAAAGAAGAGGGCCTTAAGTAGTAGGGAAATGCCTCATGACTTAAGGCCTAGGACCTTACCTCTAGCACATAAGCATATGGACTAGGCGCGAGCATGCGCGCGCGCAATCTAGCCTCACATGCTTCAACCTAACATATCCTCTCGACCACATGGCTAATGATGAGGTGCAAACAATAGGAACCAATCACAAAAACCATCTGATGTTATATGATAAAATGAAGCACTGTTTTTAGTCACAAGGAGAAATCGTCTATAACATCGCAACTAGTGCCTACATTATACACGTGTCTTCAAATAAAAAGATTCAGCTAGCTAAGCCACACTACCTGGTTATTGAGATGTTATGCATGTATATTAATTCCACCTGTTGAACGACGCTGAACTGTAGCAGAGAGCGGGTAACCTGCACTTGTCGTTGAAGAGATCCAACAGTGAAGGTGCCTCTGGTTATTGAGGGGCTAGAACGCTCCTATATTGCTCCTGCTCAAAGTTGAGGTGAGGCACCGATATTGGTGTGCTCAGGCTCATCCGCTTGAGTTGCTCCATTCTGTACTCGTGATCCAATTTCGCTATCTCGGCGTCGTGGTTTAGTCTTGCCATTTCCGCATCGTGGTCCAATGTCGCTCTCTTGGCATCATGATCCATCTTCAGTTGTTTTGCTTTCTCTTGCTCGACGGCCAACGTGTTGTCGTGCGCATCCAAGATCACCGCCTCCGTCAAGGTCGACAGCCTAACCGCCTTGCGCATATCGTACAAGATCTTCTCTTCAGTGAGGCTGGCAGGTGCCACAATTAAAGATCTCGGTGTGAGTAGTGTCCCCGACCTTGAGCGGCGAAAGGTTGTCCTTGATGTCTCCCATGTTCCGAAAGAGCCTCGGCCTTTCTGTCGTCCTCGGCCTCCACCACGTGCAGCAGCTCAAAAAACGACGGCTCCTTGAAAGAAGCTTTATGCTATTGGTACCGTCTCCCTAGGTTGATGGTGCGCCCAAACTTGAAGAGCTTGGTCGGCCGCTGCTGAACAGCACCGACGTAGATACATTTCTTGTTGTCGTGCAGGAGCAGCATGGCCTTCTCTTTGGGGCCGATGGGGTCTCGGACACGTGTGAGGGCAATGTACGCGTCCCTGATTGCGTTGAAGAAACCTCGCACGGATCTGCCACGCTTGCCCGGCGCGCACATAGCAAAGTTCTCAAATGCATTTTGTGTTAGCATGTACCTGTCCAGTGCGCCTGACAGCTTTTCACCAGGGTTAACAGCAGGGTTAACAGCAATGTTAACCCCATGTTCATCGACTTGAATGTAGTCAGCACCGTACTGAACTTGACAACCTTTGAGTTTGCTTAACCCACTTCCCTTTGTGCTATAACCGCAGAATCTCCAAGCGTCGTCAAAGTCGATCGCGTACTTGTTTTCCGTGTCGTCAAAAGCCTTGCCAATGAAGACCTTAGCTAATCTGGCGCGATTTGCCGGATCGAAGCTGTTAGCAAGGACATGTGGATGTGCCAAGATGGTGTTGGTCAAATCCATCTTTCGAGGGTAGCGGAATTTTTCAAAGACAAGAGACGCGGATGCATATCACCGCAACCAGCTGGCCGAAAGTAGCAAATGCCAGGACGAATATTCGTCCTGGCATTGGGACCGTGCCACTGCCAACAACCCATGCTCAATAGTGTCCCCAAGGAGCTTTCTTATATGTCGCACCCTCCCCGAAGACGGATCACAGGATCCACTCGAGCGCGAGCTGCCCGCGCACTTTACATAGCCCTACATTATTAAAGTGCTACCATATTGTGCCGGTGAACGGTTCACCGGGCACTTCTTGCCCCTAAATGCAGCGTATAAAGAACCCGGTTTAAACACAGGACCGACCGAGCCCCTCTACCTAACCAGCGGAAATCTGCCCCGTACAGAGAGCCCGGTACATTACCGATAACTCTAGAATGCCAGGTGTTGCCGCTCCGAGTCTGGCATGATTCGAGTCGGTGGCCGGATTCCGGCGCGCGCCGCGCCCGGCCGACCGAGCAGGGCCCGGTCCTTATCGCGGGTGCGCGCGTAGGCTTTGCTTCTCGACACGGTCATCCAATCCTTGTTTTCAAGAACCCGGCCGTGTCGGATGTCCACGTTGGTACTAAGGCTAAGCTGACGCGTCTTTCGACGGTGTTCGCACTAGCCGAAAAACTCCCATTCTGGCCCATTCTCGCCAGTTGTCCGGCGAGTCCTGGCCGTTTCCAGCGAATCCGGCCGCAAGAAAATTGACTAGGAAAATATTTCCGTGGGTCCCATTCCCATCCAGTCTCGCCGAGATCCATACCTGAACAGCAAGCAGGGTACGTGACTGCGCAGGAACGACAGAGCGGGAAAAAGGCAGCTCGTCTTGCTTCAAGTTCATCCCAGACTGTGAAGGTTCAGATCAAAAGGCAGCCGCCATGGCTGATGTACCTGCTGTTGCTGCTTAGTTTGGCGAGGAGAGTGGTCAGAAAGGGACTGACTGGGAGCTTGAATGCGAACACCGTATGAGTCATGAGGGCCGGGCCGGGTTCTGGAGGCTTCCGATAATTTGAAACCCCCCGGCCGGTCAGTATTTTTTGGCGGGCTGTTCGTATAGGACCGGCTGAATGCTAGCATGCGCCTCTGCCGACTGATCACCCGGTAGGTTAGTAAGTTTCCCCCGACCGACATAGACCCTGGGCGAACTCTAGAAGCGAACTTTACAGTGTACAGTACCTATACTGGTCTTTTGG